ACGTGTGACCTGAAACCTCCAGCCTCCTCCTCCTTGCTATAATGCCTACAAGGGCTTGCCCCCCTTGGGGATGGTTGCTGCTGGTTGTAGCTGGGTACTGGCTACCTTCCTTCCCCACCTCTTCCTCAGACTGGGTCATCTGCATCACCCAAGGTGGGGGAAGGAGAGGCAGGCATGTCACCCCTGCCTCCCTCATGTTTCCCTGCCTTTCCTCTGCTCTGGCGTGCAGGCTCGCCTGCCTGCAGACCGCTACTTGCCACATCCAGTACATGTGCATTGCTGTCAACAGGAGAAATGCTGTAGGGCCATAAACTGGTGGGGAAGGGCTCCTGGGCTATAGCAGCATCCAAGTCTACACTAGTACTATCACCAAGTGAGTGAGTGTATGCATGTGAATATATTTGGCTTCGGAAGTTATTGCCGTTTGCATTTTGTTAGCCTTTTCAGATGTAAAAGGCTGACCGGGATAGCTTGTGTCTGCCAAGTGTCTTGATTCATATTTGGGTCTTACTGGTGCAGCGCAAATTATAAATTGTATTCTGTAAATTCCCCATCAGAGGCAGGAAGCAGTGCAGTATTCCTCCTGGTGCCCCTTCTACGCAGAAGCAGAAGAGGAATTAGCTCAACAATAGAGTACATCTAGAACTTACTGAAAAATCTGGTGTCTCTGACGGGTTTGAGACTGGGAATTTAAATACTAAAAAGTCAAGACATTTTCACCTCTACCTCCTGCAGTGTCTTGCAAGCACTCCTCCCCTTGTGTCTTCATGACTGCGGTTACCTCCTTTTCCTGGCTTGCGCAGAGGAAATCCTGTTACAGCATAGTCAATCCACGGCTCTGCTGCAAAAACCCACCTCAGCCTGGTGCTTCAGCTTCATCTCCCCTCTTTGTCAGTCCTGCTGCTGCTTCCCCTTCTCCCCTGCATCGGACACGTCAGTCACAGGCTTCACTTTCAAGTATCCTCGATAGTCTCTCCATATATGATGTACCCCCTCTCCTGCTTTACCGTGACATAACCCCTGGGCTTTGATCGGCCCGTGCTCTCAGCACCTGTCTCCCTCAGGCTATCACCTCTGTATTTCCCCAAGCTTCGCCTTGCACTTGTAACTTTGTGCAGGCATCTTGTCCATCATTTCATTAATTTCCTTGATATGTCCCAGCATGTTTGCTTTTGCTGTGATGCCTTCAGCAGCTGTCTGGTGAGATGCTGAGACAAGCCCTCACCCATGCTGCCACCATCCCCGTCACTGGAGTTTGTCTGTCTCTGGATTGGAGCACAAACAGTGTCCTCTAAAGCTAGGGCACCTGCGAGGCAATGTCACACAGATCACCATCTAGCATGGGCAGAAGCTCTCCTTCCACAGTCTGTTACCCTCACTTGCTCTTTTTGGCATTTCAGGTGCAACCCTGCCCCCTTATGCTTCCATGGTACAGCATGGTTCACTGCAACTCCCTCTGCAATTCTGTTGTATCTTTGCCTAAGTTATTGCAGTCTGTTTTGCAAACTGACAATATGCAAATATTATGCACCCATACACAGATTTGATAATGCCACAGTCTCTTTGTCAAGGTAGAGCTTACAGCCTGGTCTGGTAAAATAAGGAATGGCATGAGGAGGGAGATCTTTTCTGTTGAACCACTGAGGGGAAATGGAGAATCGAAGAAGGCGGCTGTTTTCTTATGTCTCTTGGTAAAGCAGGCTGAGGTGCCTGAGTCAGGAAGCAAAGTTACGGTGAGCAGCGTTACTGTGATAGCACATCTGTGCCTAAAATTGCCTTGACATTTAAGTTTACAGCACATAGTTGGTACGGAATCGGCTTTTGGGGGGAGAAAAAACCCTCTGAAACAAAAGGATGCATTAATAGAGATTTCTGTCGAATCAAGTGTACAAAACTTTGTCCTAGATTTATATCGTGTCACAATTTCTAAGGATGTTAAAATGAAATCTGCTTGACATTTTCAAGTTTGATATGGACCGTATGCTTTGTTTTTATAAAATACATTGAAGCCAGTGTGTCAGCTGAATTTTACCATAGGAAAGTGTTTTCTTATTCCCTTGGACTCCACTTAACTGAGTCACCGCTTCATTAGCTAAGGACTAATAACCCCACTGACTAGCAAAGTTAAGGGCCACTTCTTGTTCAGCAGAGCCCCTTGTTGAAGCCTGCAGGGAGTGCTCCTGAGACGGGGGTGAATGTGCCCTGGGGAGTTGGGGAGATGGAGGCTCTCCGCTCCGCTTGTGTGCGCAGCCACCTCCTCTGGCATCGGGCAGGATGCTGTGCTGCAGGACTGAAGGCCTTAAATCCGTTCACTTCCAGATTTGGCCACATTTTGTCCTAAAACTATATTCCTGGTAGATGAATGAAGTAGTGCCAGGTATGTCTGAGGATTTTTCCCCCTTTACCTGGAGGGATGCTGAACCTGAGGGTCTGAGCCCTGCAAGTTGTTAGTTTTGCAGGCGACTGCGATGGAGGATGAAATCAAGCTCTCATAACAAGGGCTGCTTGCCCTGGGGCTTGATATTTTATCTGGTAGGTTTTGCTCTGAGTAAGCAATATGAAGGATCCGGAGCACTGCCCCCTGAGCAGCCCACGCAGCTCCAGGGAGGGCGAACACATCGCACAGCCCTCCGGTGCACCGGCCATTTGGCCCCGGGCGTGGAGCTCAGCACCGGTCAGCTTGTTTCAAATACAAAAGGTGATTATCTGGAGCCCCGTGTTAAGAGTCGGGGCATGAGCTAACAGAACTTAATTAACTTTTGTTTGTTCTGAGATTAACTGCATCACCGCCCCACCACACATGTGCTGGGAGGCATCTTCTCCTGAGAAGCCTGTCAGAGTTGGTGGGATGCTCCACGCAGCCACTTGCAGCCTCTGAAGGTAGGGGTGGCAGGAATGGGGTGACTCAACCGTGAAAGGAGATGGCAAGACAGAAGCAGCTGAAATACTTTTCATATACTTGTTCCACTGAGGCAAATGGGTTTAAACTATTGGGTTTTTTGTACCACCTTTTCTTTTTGCCCTGTGAAAAAAATACAGTTCTAATTAAGCACCCATTCCACCCTACACTAAATTTTCTCTTCAAACAAAACTTTCAAATTTGCAGTTGCAAGAAATCAAACAAGAAGTAATTCCACAAACACAGAAATTAAGGAATACTGATACCTGCTGGTTCCTCCCTCTTCTGTGGCTAAGATTTCCCTGGACCTCCTTCCTCCCCACAGACACCCGCAGTCTGTTACTTTGGCAGTGACATTTTAGTGGCTGTGTTTGACTGTAAAAGTCAGTTACTGCGATCTAAAGCTACTAGGGGCAACCAAATGGCTGTGTGAACCTTTGTGTCTCCTCTTCCTGATCATCTGCTGTCATTAAAGTTAGAAGCTCAACTGCCTTTGAGGTTCTGCCTGGCGTTGAATTTGTCTGAAAGTGGCCAACAGGAACAAAAGTTATTTGGAGTGGGAATAAAGGGAATAAAGCTGGGACTGGACACTGGGAAACCAAGTATGACCCATCACTGTGGTCAATGAAGAGTGAAGTTTTGACTTTTGGGTGGGTTTTTTTTTTCCAGAAACCTGTAAGTTTTCACTGGAAATTTTCAACAAAAATGGGAAATAAATATTTTTAGCAAACCAACACAAGAAGGAGACTGATTTCCCTGGTGGCTGTGTGTCCTTTGGGTGAGATTCAGGCTCCTATGGGAAGCAGGACCAGAGAGGGCCCTATTTCCCCATCTGAGGTCCCAGATGTACAGCAATAAGACTTCTTTCCCCATTCACATCCTGAGAGATACAGGGAACACATACATCCCTACTCCCTGCATATCTTATTGGCAACGGGAGTGAATACAGTGTTTGGGCCAAATCCTGCTGTGTCAGAACATGGTCAGCGTGGACTCAGCTGTGGGCTACTGCTGCAGCTGAGCCTCTGAAAATAGCAGTGAAGGGCATTACACTGGTGCAAGAAGGATGAAGGGTCATGGGATACCACTGTGTATGCCAAGGGGTCTCCTGTAGATATGCTTCTTGACATTCTGGTCCAAGTATTTCTGTGTTCTTCAAAGGTAATTAAAAGCTCAGACCTTTCCTTCCCAATGTGTATGCTTTCCATTTGAATATGAATGCATGCATTTAAAGAGCCTCGAGGATGTATTGTGTTTCCAACTGCATCTCTGGCGTGTTTGAATCAGCTGAAGATTTGGTAGGCTCTTTTCCCTCTGCCTTTCTGGGGGCTGAGGCTTTGTATTGAATGAAGGGCTAAATGGGCAAGAGCAGTGCTCTGTGTATCTGCAGGGAGAGGGACTAAAGAAGATCCTGCAGACAAAAGAGAGCTGGAAAAGAAGCAAAATAATTTATATTTGTCTTGTTTGAGAATAGAGTCCCTGGTGCAGAGGTCTATGCCTCTTTCCCCCAAGAGAGCTGTTCTGAAAGAAACAAAGGGAAGGCAAAGGGTCTCTGCTATGAGCAGACAAAACTGAGGGGCAGAGGATTGAGCTCCTTCTTACATGAGGCAGATTTGTCAAAGAAAAGGTATAGGGGTGTTGTTGCATCCCCATCTCCACCCCAGTAACACCACCTGCCTCAGCCTACGTGCTTCTGGGCAAGGTGATGGGGTGCATGCCCTTACATCCAGAGGGGTGCTGGGTCCACCCCTGAGGAGACCGACCTCGAGGTTCACCTGCAGCCTCCCACCTTTCCCTTCTGCACAGGGACGTGGTCCGGAATCTGCCCAGCTCCCTTGAGGTGGAACATTAGTATAATCAATGTTATCAAAACATTTGGATTTCAACGATTCTGACTTTTAACAGCTGCACTAGATAATTTTCTTTATTGAACTTGGACAGGCTTAAACCGTAAGTGATTCAATGATTGAAGGGATGAAAGCAACACAACAATGCATTAAAATTCATCCCCAGAGATCTGCTTCTCTAATGCAGTTCAAACCAAATATGCTGAAAGGATAGAGCTCTGAGATGTATAATGATTGTGCAAGCGTCTTTTCTTGCCCAGAGGGGAGGGTCTTTTTGAAATGGCCCTACTTATGCTTTAATCTGCATCATCTGGGATTGTTTCTTCATATACAATCAATTTCATTTGCTTTATTAAAAACAGTTCAGGGGCCACATTTTAATTTTAGGTATTGAACGAACGTAGCACACAAAAATCTGCTGGCTACCCTTGTGCATATACAGTATTCGGTTTGAGGATTTCAGGTAAGTGAATTTAAACTGCAGATTGTCTGAAATAAAGAGAATAAATAAATGGTGTGTGATCCAGAAAGACTTGATTCCTGGCAGCAGTCTTTAGAAGATAATGTGAAATGAATGAGTGCAGATACAGTGCTCCGGTGCTTAAAGCAGTGCCAGGGGACAGCAGGTTGTCTTGGTGCTGGAGCACTCTGCAAAGGAAGAGGAGAAAGGTGTTATCAAGGTATGGCTGTAAAGCAGAGATCAAGAGAGAAGCACGGTTTTTATATTATACATGCTGTGCTGTAATTGGACAGCAGAAGGTTGTGGCTAGCAGAAATAAAACACAAGCCAGGGTTTCAGTGGGTTTGGGTTTTTTTTTGAAATTTCCGGCACCGAGAGTAGTCAAATTCATCACTTTTCCTCCTTTTTTTTTTTTTTTTTTTTAATTAATGTAGTTATTACTAAACTCTTCAGCTTTGATTTGCTTTTTTATAGGGGCTTTTCTCAGCATGCAGTCCCTTTAGATTTGGATGTGATAACTAACCACATCCTGTGCATTGGACATTTGGCTTGCATCCCCGTTATCTTCCTGCTTGTAAGTATTCATTCTCTTTTCTTGTTTTTCTCTTACTTTTCAGGAGCAGATTTAACTGATGGGTCTGGGTCTGATCCCAGGTCATGATGTCTTTGCTTTATATTGATATAAATAACTCTATAATATGCAGATCCATGGGAAATGTAAATGATACAACCATTTGATCCTATCTGAATTAATTTAAGTATCCTTATGGCTCTGAGAGTTTCCTTTTCCCAGCCCCACACAAACCCCCAAACAACATATAATTTGATTTTAACCTGCAACCAAGCCATCTGGGCACTTCTCTTCTTAGGTTTTAAAAATAATAAATTTAAATCATAGTAAAAAAATGAAATTAGATCATAAATTAAAAGGAAGACTTTGCTTGTGGCAGGAAATTGCTTTTGCTTTTCCTTGTGTGCACTGTTTTACTGAGTCGGTTGGTGACTGATCCTGTTTCCCAGCCAGGGTGGTAAAAGGATTCTCTGCTCCTGGAGGGTCCATCTGTAACAGGAAAAAGAAACATTCTACTTACTTGTGGTCTTTTAATTGCCAAAGGCATTTATGAAAGAATAAGAAGAATTAAGGATCATATTCTTGATAAACTCCAAGTGAGAAGTCATTCTTTGCCTTTCCTATGACATTTCAATGGAACAAAATGTTGCTCACTTCTTATCTGTCTAGAGCTACTGTCTAATTTAGTTGCATGATGTTAAATTGCTACATTTTCCAGTCTAGAGCAAATTGCCTTTCAAGGCTGAAGGGTTCCCTGTATGCAGAGTTCATTCAGTCCTTTAGTATGAGAATGTAAGCATATTTTTATTGGCATTAAATGCTTTGTGTTATCTGTTAGCTGGAAGGATGATATGTGGTGATATAGTCCTATATGCTAAAGGAAATAAATGTAGAAAACGAAGGTGGGAAGGAAGAAAATGAAAGAATTAAACCAGAAGCTCGCTGTCCTTCATACATATATCAAATTAGCAAAGGTCATGAGAAACCCTAATCGTTTTAATAGATCTACTGAAAACTTGCTGCCAGCTTTTGGAAGTTATAACTATGATAACAGAACTCAGCAGGGTGACACACATTTAGGGATGAGGAGGTTTCATCCTGGAACTGGCATCACCGTATTGCCTGAGAACCCCCACAATCCTCCTCCCGCTCTTCTTGCCCTGATGCTGAACGAAGGAAAGGTAGTTCTGTTTTCAGGTCACGAGGGGATGAAATCATTACCTGCTCGCTCCTGGCTTTAACTTTCCAAAAGGGCAAAAGAGAGTAGAGGACACACGTGTGAGTTCTTTAATAGAGATGATCAGCGTCATCTTTAATTACTGTCCTCTGCCACCCCCCTTCTACTCAAAACAAAGAGCTGTCTGCCTCGTACAGAGCAAGCAATTTTTGCAGAGACCCACAGTCCCATCTCGCAACTCATCTCCTTTTCTTAGCCATTTCCTAGCCAGATTAATGGCCCGTAATTCCAGTACCATCTAGGATCTGCTAACCACCAGTTCCTCCCCATCACGGGGACGGTCCCAAGTCATCCATTGTGGGCGCATTGTTCCACTAGTGTGGGTGTGCTGCTTTGACCCTCATCTCCGTGTCCCCTGGGACACACGTGTGTGCAAGCCTGGGAACTGGATCCACAGGAAGACAGTGTGCACAAGATAACGAGCCTGGTGGCTAGAGGCTCCTTCTGCCAGGATCCATGGGCATCTGATACGGGCAAGCTTCTTCAGCTGTCCCACACTGGGTCAGAGAGTGGCTCGCTGTTCTGAAGATGGTAAAAATCTAATCCTTCTGTTGCACTCATCCTCTGCCTTTCTGCATGCATTGGGCTGAAACCAGACAAAAGGATTTTAAGTTTATAAGGAAGGCAGGCAGATACAATTAACAGCATATTGATGTCTGATGGGATGAGGGACCTCACAGTTATAACTATGGTAAAGGCAAATTAAGCTCTCCTCTGTTAGGAGTTGTTTACAATAAGGGCTTTTTAGAATATCTTCTACCTGTAAGGAAAGAGTTGATGGGAGATTGTGACCAAAATGTTAGTTTATGTAGCATAAAACCACTGATTTTCTTTTATGTCAATTTGTCTCTCTGCTTAAACATTTTGAAGCTTCTGAAACAGCCAAGGTACTTCTCAGTTTGTAGTCACAAAAAGCCAGGAAGAACCAAGAAAACAAAGTGCTTATCTATGGCTGATAAACTCCCAAGAAAATGAATCCACCAGACTTATCTTTGCTTCCTGTTCCTCAGTTTTTAGGGCTTCAGTGGTTGTGAGTATGCTCCATTAAATTATATTTCACTGAGCCTGGAGAAATAGAGTTGTTGCATCAGGATATGCAGAGAAATACAATACAGGCAACTCGATGGTAAAGGATTTATGACCTAGGGACAATGAGAAAGCCCTCTGTTTACTGTATGCCATCCTGGAGAGTGCTGCAGTCTCATTTAACATTCACCTTAGACTGAACTGGAAGATGGCTCCTGTCTCAGCAATGCTCAAGATTAAATTACATATGTTACATACAATTTGGCACCCTGGGCGTATAGTAATTCATAAGGCCTATGCTCCTGACCACATTTCCATTTTCTGAAAAAACAGGTTTTATGACAGGTGCCATGAAAGTTGAAAATGGTTGTTAACTTTGGCATGGATACCCAGCCATGATACTGCATGGTACCTGGAATTTACCTCTTACAGATGGCTTGCTTTATCACTCACCTACCCAGTTGGCCCAGCTTTTGGTGAATGCCAAAGTGCCTGTCTCCCACTTACTACGGGATAAAAGAAAAGATTAAAAACTCCAGCTGAGCCTGCCTACAGTATCTACCAGGTAGTCCTACACTTGTGTGGTGGTTTAAGCCCAGAGGGCAACTGAGCACCACTCTGCTTACTTGCTTCTTCCCCCTTGGGGATGAGGAGGAGAAAATACAACTAAAGGCTCAGGATTGATACAAGGACAGGGAGGGATGGCGCACCCATTATGGTCACAGGTGAAAGACAGACTCTGCTGGGGAAGAAAAAGGTCATGAATTTAATTTGAACACCATCACTACTAGTTTACTAATCAGAGTAGGACAGTGAGAAAATACAACCACATCTTAAAAACACCTTTCTTCCCACCCTTCCCTTCTTCCCAGGCTCAGCTTTGCTCCTGATTTCTCTACCTCCTCCCTTGCAGGGGGGCAGGATATGGAGGTTGTGGTCAATTCATCATCCACTGTCTCCGCTGCTCCTTCCTTCTCCAGGGGAGGACTCCTCGCACACCTCCCCTGCTCCAGTGTGGGATCCCTCTCACGGGAGGTAGTCCTCCATGAGCTTCTTTGATGTGGGTCCTTCCCACAGGTAGCAGCTCTTCATGAACTGCTCCAGTGTGGGTTCCTGCCACAGGCTGCAGTCCTCTCAGCAAGAGACTGCTCCAGCGTGGGCTTCCCTCGGAGTCCCAGCCTTCTTTGGGCATGGACACCTGCACCAGCGTGGGGTCCTCCACAGGCTGCAGGTGGGCATCTGCTCCACCATGGGCATCTGCTTCACCATGGACCTCCGTGGGCTGCAGGAGGACAACCTGCCCTCGCACCACAGGCTGCAGGGGTGTCTCTGCTCTGGCTCACCTCCCCACCCCACCCCTCCTCCTTTCTTCATCTGACCTCAGTGTTTGCAGAGGTATTTCCCTCACAACTCATCCCACTCCCAGGTTCCCCTTCTTAAATATCTTATCGCAGAGGTGCAGCCGCCGTTGCTGATCGGCTCAGCCTTGGTGCAGAGGTGAGTCCAACTTGGAGCCGGGGGAGCTTCCAGAGGCTTCTCACACGAACCACTGCTGTAGCCCTTCCTCTGTTACCAAAACCTTGCCACACAAACCTTGGAATGAGAGTGATTGTCCATACATGTGAAAAGGGGAACTGAAGACATGAATGGAGGAATCATGCACAGCTGCAGGAAAATACTGAAATAGTGGTTCTGGTTGAAAAGCAAGGATGTACAAATGACACCATGTGTCTAGCAGAGCCCTTTTTTGTATGACAGCCCTCATATTTGGGGACTAAAGTGGCAGAACAAGGGTTTGCTCTCTTGTACATCTAAAACCAGCAGAGCCTGGCAGTGGAGTCTGTGCCTTCTTGGTACAGTGAGTTGTTTTACTGAAATGTGTGAATCTTTCCGAGAAGTTTGTCCATCAGAGAAGCAAAGCTGACTAACAGTGGAGTAATAGCAGGAAAACTCAGCTGGTGGCAGAAAGACAGAGTATGACCTGGGACTTACAGCAGTGAGGCTGGACTCGATGACTCTGGAAGCCTCCTCAAGACCTGCATCCCTGTCCTGGGATTGCAGAGGTGCCTCGGAGAAAGTAATCCTGATCCAGCTACACTACAGAGTCTCCCAGCAGGCAGGTCCCAGTTCTTCTGTCCCAGGAGTTTTCAGGACTGGCTACTCGGGAAGCCTTCTCCTGTCAGAGTTCCTCTCCATCTCCAGGCACTCAGCAATATCACTTTAAATTCAGCGTTTGCCTTAAACTAATTCAGCTTTCCAACAATAGACAAGGGAAAGGTAAAGACCACTACAGAATTTGAAAGCTTTGGCTCCTTAGTTGAATTGTTTGATCAGTTTACGGCTCTCAGAAACACAACAGGTTTATTGCAGTTAACCTCTTTCAATTTTGCATTTAGACTTTGAAGTCAGTGACACAAGTCCCAGTCATTTTTGGGCGGCCAGGTTTGGGCTAGATGTCAGGATGTTGTTCTGTTTAGTTTTCAGAAATGCACAAACCCAATTACCAAACGAGATGGTGAAGCTGACAGGTGGCTTTATTGGGGGTTGTTCTTTCGGGAGGCTTAGGATAAGAGACAAATGGCTTATGCCACTTACCACCACCTCCTGGCAGAAGCAGGAACATGACCTGAAGCAGTAGCTGTGGTGCGCTGAATAAAGTTACTCGTGGATCCCCCTCTTGAAGGCTGGGAGGTCTTATCTGTGGTGTGGCAGAGGTTCATGCAGCCCTAGGACTCTGTAGCTGCATTTTAGTCCAGAATGGTGTTTGCATCCCTGCCCCATGTTGCTGGCTGAGCCACCCTGGCTTCTCTCTGGCAGGATTGCAAGGCTGGGACAGCACCAGTGGGCGGCATCGGGGATCAGGATCAGCCCCATTTTATTTATGTACACGTTTTGTACCTTTCCTATGAATACTACTCCCGTGTCGGGACCAGATATGTTCATACACTGTATTACTTTGCTGTTTTACTCCAACAGGGTACAGATGGTTGGATAAAATCCTTTTAGACTGAGTAGGACTTTACACTTTAGGTCCATATTTTTAAATGTGTGATTAAAACAACACACATTTTTTTTTTTTTCCCTTCCTAAAATATTATCCAAAGACCCACTTTAGCTGAAGCTACATTTCATGGTGAGATTCATTTACACATCACATCACTACACAGTGTGAGTGAAGCAACTAGAATCTGGGCCATAGTCATTTGGAATCAGAGTTTACAGTGTCTCTGATCTCACTACAAAATGCTCAGTTAAAAATAGCCCAGTTGACATTGTAAGACCTATAAAGGCTCTGATGTAGCAAAACACTCACATCTCTGCTTAACTGTGAGGTTCCGATTAGGCCTATTTAAGACCACAAATTTTCCACTAACTTCAAAGAAAGTCCCACACCAAAGTTATTCCTTGTACCAGGGCCAAAACTGTTAACGGTAAAAGTAGAACTTAGTGGATTTCAAATTTGTGAAGAATTTAAAGGCTTTTAACTTCTGTCATGATAAAGAATTTACGTGAATTAATTCCTTAAATTATTACAGAGCAATTAAATTAATAATAGACCTGCTTTTCATTATGATGAGTAATAAACATCTTCTATATCAAAGCTTATCTTTTAAAAAGGATAAATTAGCTATAATGCACTTAACTACTTCCAGAATGTGAAATGAACACACACGTATTGTTCCATTAGTTTTGGATCACTGAATTAAAGACAGTTCAAAAGGAGTATAATCTCATAAGGATCTCTCTTTGTTCAGTCTGTTGTGACTTATTTCACAGTATACAATAAATACTGCTTCTTGTGGGGCTAAATGCTATTAGGGTTATAAAATGGTTTTAGTTTAGTATATTTTATGCATCAGTATGAGTTATATACCACAAGGGTAGGAATATTTTTATCTGGTATTGCAGATGCAGCTCTGTACTGCCACAAATCTTGTAGGCTATCGCGATGCTTGATTAAGACTACCAAAAGTTCTGCAGTAAAACAATAAATGCAATGAATAAACAATAAAAAAAATCTGGAATGTAACGTTTTATCCATGAAAAGATTATGGATGCGCATGTACTAGTAAATTAATCCAGGCCAGGGCATAGGCCTGTCATCATCTCTCCTGTTGAATTAGCAAGCACACCTCCTGGCATGGTTTTGGACAGCTGGCACCCTCCAAGCAATGCCTGGTCATATTTGGGGTTGAGACTGGCCATCATTCATTCCCAAAGGCAGCCATCCTGTCCATGAATATAAAAAGGAGTTTAGCTGTCTTGATACAGCATGCCACAGAAGTTGTCCCCGAGACCAGAGAAGAGCCTTGACCTGGTTTATGTAGCAGTATAGATGTAGTTCTGAGGTATAGAAAATAAAACAGGGTTTAAGAATGTAAGATTAGAGTCTACCTACCACTTAATATAGTCCTTGTTTACTTGGGCACTTAGGGCTTTTTACGGCATATAGCTGTTGCGGCTGGAGTCATGCACTTCACTCGTAAGAGAGAAGCAACAATGTGTTTTATAGATATAAAACAGTGGGTTAACAAAGTTCAATGGTAAATGTGACAGTGGTTAAACATGATTTGATGGCAAGGTACACTTGAGTATTTACTGCATAGGGGACAGGGTCAGACAAAACCGTCAGGGAGACCCTCCTGTTGAGTCATGAGGTTCAGAAAGGACCCCATTGCTTTCTAAACTCCTGCTCAGAGAGGAGTTCTAGGTGCAGCTGGATCCAATCCTAGTCCCAGACTTGGCCAGTGGTTTATATCTAAAGGATTATATATGTGCAGAATCAATCCTTTCTATCAGTTAGGATTTCAAAGTTTAGCATGCTATTAATCACTTACCAAGAATCTGTTGGGGCAAGGAATCTCTCAATCTCGATGAAGGACCTTAAGAGGCATCTCTACTCCAGAGGAGATCCTGGCGTGCAGCCCGCTGCTGTGTAGGAGAGCCCACCAGGATCCGGGCTGTCCACTATTTATGGAGTAGGGTGACTGACTTACAGCCGTATTTGCGTACCGGCCGTATTTTGGTTGGCGCACGCTCATCTACCTCTCAGCGGTTGTGTTCTTACCTATCTCCTCCAAATCCACTTTGAGCCCGGTGCAGCCATCACGACCAGATGCACCCATTACAGCTGCCACTGGTGGTTATCACCTGAGCAGGGTTCTGGGCGGGGAGGTGGGGGGGGGGTGTAATGAGCACACTGCCACAACAGCATAACCTCCTAAATTTAATTTACAGTGCAAAAGTACACTGAGTAACTGTGCAGATAACTTCTGTGGCTACAAAACAAACTACTTAGCATTTTTCAGTGGGTGTCTCCAAGGCTTCTGTGTTGTCAGAGAAGAAATGTCATGAGCAGAAAAGTACTTTATTCTTCTTAAGCATCTTTAGTTTGAGTTGGGGCTTTTGTGGTCACATCAAGTGTCAAAAAGTGTCAGCCACTTGAAGAAAGAGGTACTTTACTAAGTTAGCAGAGGTGGCATGTTTAAAGGAAAAATTATAAGGTAGGCCATTGCTGGGAACAGTGCTGGGACACTCTCATGGAAACAGAGAGACACTTGGGCAGTTGTGAGACACACAGAAGGAAGGACCCCAGATTGTCACATCATTACTTCAGGGGCCTGTTTCTGGGTCTCTGACTGATGCTGACAGTGCCTGCTCTCTCCATCACCATGAAAATCCGTGGGATTTTCCTCAAAGCCTCTAACTGTGAGTTAGAGATAATTCTATTGAACTGGGACCATAGGATGAAGTCAAAAGCGAGGTCAGGGTGAGACGCTGGGAGCGCAGGTCTGTATGGATATTGTCTTCCTCCCCGAAGGAAAGCTTGTCACCTTTCCTTGCGGTGCCCTACAGTGCTCTGCAGTGAGAGGTTGACTGTGGATGGATAGACAGAAAGATTGCATGTGGATGATTATATGCAGAAAATTAGCTTCATTTCCTACCCGTTTGCACCTTGCATTATCTGTTTTGTATCAAATCAAAGGCAATGGGTTACGCCATGTAATTTAGCTACAGCATGTCAGCTTTTTACAAGCAATTCCCCATCACCAAGCCTTCTCTTATGCTTTCAGACTGCACCTGGGGACTGACTACATATGTTTAAAGAAAAGCATCTTAGCATACCCTGATCCACTCGTCCTCTGCTACTCTGACCTTTGCCAGCACCTGAGCATCCAGGTTCCAACACAAAGTGGCTGGAGGCAAAGCTTTTTCAGAGGTGGGATCTCTTCCCCATTGATGTTCGCTGCACTTAGTCCCCTCGCATTTGCTGAGCTGCCAGGGCTGCCCGTTCCCTCAGAATTTTGCTTGTAGGTGTCAGAATCTGCAACACTTCACTGACACGTGCCTGCCATTGAGATCCCCGTGGCAGCATTACAGCGAGGTGCATTTTGATCTTTGAAACCATTTCATCTGTTTTATAAATATATAGTAAGAAATCAGGTCTGGCAGATTTTCTCATTCGGGGTACCTCTGTCAAGACAGTATGGAGTAAGTGGCTAGTGGATTTGTCATCCATCACAGTGCTGAGCAGCCTTGCTCATCTAGGTTGAGGAGCTGAAGTCCTGAGAGGAATTTTTCATTACTTGACTAGATTTTTTACACAAGACAAATTTGGATTCCTATATGTCTTTCCCATATAAAGTATATTTTTGATTGTGCCGTTCCTCAGTTAAACAACTCATGGTGGGGAAGGGATAATTTTATTTCACTGGTGGCTAGGGTTTCTCCTAATCCCTGCATTTTGGGAAATAAAGATATAAAGATAGTTGTTAGCTAATGCTTTAAGAATTGAAGCTTAATGCTAAGGAATAATAACTTGTAACTCTTAAGAACTAGATAACTAGATTGTATCAGATGCACATAAAATCACATTATCTGCTAGTAAATTAATATCTTTTTTTTTTTTTTTCCCCTTGCAGTTCTGAAGGATACAATCTTGCATTGTCCTGGGCCTGAGCAGCAAAGGATAAATTTGATCACTGATTGACTTGTCATCTCTTCATTGTGATGGAAAAATGGTTGCCTAAAATAAACCCTTTGTTATGATTCTAAAACTGCCTTTGAATCCAAGATCTGTTGTGATTTTTAAAAAACAAATCCAAAAATGTCAGAACCCGACCCTTCATCTGGATTTATAGGAAACATGGAAAATGGGACTTTTCTGGAGCTGTATCCCACATCCCTTTCAACTTCAGTGGATTCATCACCTGGCCGTTTATCCAATGTCTACGTCTATGTTTCTATATTCCTTAGTCTCTTAGCTTTTCTCCTTTTGCTATTGATCATTGCACTTCAGAGGCTGAAAAACATAATTTCTTCCAGTTCCTCCTACCCAGAATATAATAGTGATGCTGGAAGTTCTTTCACTAATTTAGAGGTTTGTAGTATTTCTTCCCAGCACTCTGCTCTCTCAAACCTTTCTTCATGAAACTAAATGAAAGGAAACACACAGGGAATGGAAGAGCTTCGTCTAGTTTCTTGGGGAGGTAGTGCATGCAACATTTGCCTTAGAAGATTATTATGAAGAGGTGGCTTTTAAAGTTTCTTTAGTTGTTTGGTTTTGGTTTTGTTTTTTTTTTTTTTTTTTCCTTTCATTTTCTAGTCTTCATTTCCCCTTTTACTAATGTTCTTTTTCATTTTGGACAATGGATAATGACACCTGATCATCATTTCATGCCTGTAATAGAGATGCTGTCTTTTTCTCACACGTATATGGTGTTCATTAAGAGCATTCCTGCCAAACTGTAATGCAGTTCTAACTGGATATGTCATTCTTCTGCTCTAGTTGTGACCCCTTCTCTGGTTTTGTATTAGTAATATGCTGACTACTTTTCTTTCTCCTTTTTCAATTAGAAAGGCTTCTGGATCAAATCCCTGTTGCAAAAGTACAAAAAAATCAGCTTAAATTATAAATATTAGGACAATTTACGATTGTTGGTATGGTTTTGTTTTGTTTTGTTTTGTTTTAATTTTCACATCTTTTTCAGTGTTTATTGATATTTATAAAACACAACTAAAATCCTTTTCTTGAAGAATGTTGCCTTTGTTGATTTGTACTCCCAACTTGTTCTGTATAAAGTCTGTGTTTCAGTTTTTGAGTCTCTTTGTTTAACTTAGTAAAGCGACTACAATAATGACGCTCACTGCTGAATGTGTGGAGGTATTTTTGGACCCCATTGCATCTCATTTGCCCAATGACTCGTTCTTCCAGGGGGCAGCTTTTGCTGCTGAATCCTAAATATCACACAACTCCTTTGCATCCTTCACTGATACTGTAGCTTATACTTACTGATGGCAGTACAAACCAGTGGTTTCTTTTAAAAGCTCTGCATACAACAGCTACAGCTAGCAACTGAATAGCTCCTAAACTGTCCTGTCAGCACAAGAGGTTTGTACTCATGTGAGCAGGGCCAGCAGGGCCAGAAATTGCTTGTACGGGTGAGGATTTTCTGGGCCAGATTTTGTCCTGTAATTTCACAAATGTGTGCTGGGATGGAGGCGGGGGAACATGAGGATCCGTGTAATGTCCCGGCAGACCTGTGCTCTGACCCTCAAGAGGTGCAAGGTGTACCTGCAGAGAGTAGAAAGAGGTAGGAAGGAAAAAGGCAGTGGCTCTGCCCCTTTTCCCCATCAGCATAAGCAGAAGCCAGAGATGAGGAGGTGGGAAATGGATGATCTTTACAGTCTCACTCCTCTTTGTGATGCCGTAATCCGGGTTATGATTTTCCCATGCCCAAAATGTACCTTAGCACTCAATTTCTGTAGTAAAATAACTAGCAGCACTGTGAACATGATCCTATGTTTAGCTTGGAATTAAAAGCCAAATGATCAAATAAATTACTTGAAATGCCAACTGTGACCTGCTAGGACTGCAGCCCCACACTGCGCAGCGCAATTCCCAGCCGTCCTTACTGCATGATGTGAGCACAGCCTGGTCCTGCTGCTCAAGTCTACGCAACTTTTGCTCTCGTGGCCAGATCCAAGTCACCGGAGAGACCCGAGGAAGGGTGTGGAAATGCCACTGCTGTTTCTGTAGCTGGCATGACAGCACATGTCGCCCCGGTGCTGGGACGGTCTCAACAGGAGCACAGTAGCACGATACTACTGCCCAGCAGGCTGATGGGTTAGGGAGCTGCAGAAGACCTCCCCAAAACATTTTTTGCAGATAACCTCCTGCTGAGCTGTCAATGCAACAAGACACATTCTGCCATTAAATATACAGGCTTTAAAAGAGAAATCTGGAAAGCCTAGTGTAAATACAATCATTAGAAACTCAGGTGTTCAGTGCCAAACAACATACAGATGATGATGGAGTCGATGTTTTAAATTTTTAAAACTGAACATACAGTATGGTAAGTGGTAATGACTTACAGCAGTGATTAGCTCCTTACAAAGGTCAAAGAATTTCTGACTAATAAAGAACTTAAGTCTGCGGGTTCTCTGAGACAAATTGGTTTGATGAATATATTTGGTCTCTGGAATAGTTTATTCATCTAGACAAAAAATTGTGGAAACTCACTTTTCACTGTAATTGATGGTAGAGCCTTGGGAAAGAGTTAACTATTTAATAGGGATCAGGAAACTTTATTTCCTTTTTGAAAGCTCTTCCAAATCCCAGACCTGTAACAGAATGTATTGTGCATTGACTGGTAGATAAAACTAAATGAAGTGTAAATCAAGATGGAGCAACTCTTCAGCTATCTTCTCTTACCGACAAAGTTGTAAATTTGTTTCGTCCTTTGCTGTAAATGCAGGAATTTAATCAAAACCAGAGATGAGACCACAGGTTGAGATGGGTATTGTTCCCAGCGGTATGTTACCCATTACTAGTTTATGCTTGCACATATAGAGACATTTAATATTAAGTACAGACTGCTGAAAACCTGTTGGCTTTGTGCAATGAGCTGTTGTCAGACTTCACAAGAGCAAAAAGTATTTTTCAGTCTGCACAAAGCAGCAAAGGTAACTGAAACCACACATTCGATTTTGCTTTGTAGTTTACTAGATGCTATTAATTCTTCTCACTCTGCAGTGACATATGGGACAGTATAAAGTCATCGTGATTTCAGCTGAGTTGCACCTGTTCTCATCAGGACAGATTTGAGTAGAAATAAGTTGGATTCAACAGAATAGCATCAGGAGAAGCCACAGGCAAAAAACACCATGGCATTTTCAAGGATTACTAAGTACTAGATCTTCAAGAAAAAAAAGAAGAAAAAAAAAAAAAAACAAAAACAAAACAACAAACCCAACCTTGAGAACTTGTTCTTGAGTTAACTTGAGAACACTGGAACAGGCTTCGTGGAGAGGAGGTCAATGCCCCAAGCCTGTCAGTGTTTAAAAAGCATTTGGGCAATGCCCTTAATAATTTGCTTTAACTTTTGGTCAGCCCTGAAGTGGTCAAGCAGTTGGGCTAGATGATCGTTGTAGGTCCCATCCAACTGAAATGCTATTCTATTCTATTCTATTCTATTCTATTCTATTCTATTCTATTCTATTCTATTCTATTCTATTCTATTCTATTCTATTCTATTCTATTCTATTCTATGCTATGCTATGCTATGCTATGCTATGCTATGCTATGCTATGCTATGCTATGCTATGCTATGCTATGCTATTTGAGTTACAGAAATTTTCCACCATGGTAAACTGAAAGGCAGATTAGATTCTTCACTTTCATAAAAGACCTGTATTTTTTCTCTCTCCCTCTCTTTGTTTTCACTTCTTTCTGTCATTCACACACCAAGCAAACCTGGACAGTCTGGAGAAATGGGCAGAGAGGAATCTCATGAAGTCCAGCAAGCAAAAATACATTGTCCTGCAACTGGGGAGAAATAACCACAGGCACCAGTACAAGCTGGGGGCTGATCAGCTGGAAAACAGCTCTGCAGAGAAGGACCTGGGGGTCCTGGTGGACATTAAGTTGAACATGGGCCATTAGCACAGTCTGACTGCAAAGGAGGCCGGGAGCATCCTGGGCTGCATTAGAAGGAGCACTGCCAGCAGGCAGGGAGGTGATCCTTCCCCCTGCTCAGCACCAGTGGGACTCCTGGATTGCTGTGTTCAGTTGTGGAAGTACTACAGTGAGCCTGGTGCAGGGCTACTAAGATGATTAAGGGACTGGAGCATCTCTCATATGAGGAGAGGCTGAGATCTGGAACTGTGTAGTCTAGAGAAGGCTCAGGAGGATCTCATCAACATCTATAAATACTTCAGGGGAGGGAGGAAGAAGAGGGAGCCATGCTCTTCTCAGTGGTGCCCAGTGACAGGACAAGAGACAATGGGCACAAACTGAAACATGAAATTCTATCTGAACACAAAATAAATTTTACTGTGAGGGTAGTCAGACACAGGCACAGGTTGCCCAGAAGGGCTCTGGATTCTCCCTGTGTTGACCTGGGCAACCTGCCTGCAGCTAACCCTGCTTTGGGCAGGAGGGCTGGACCAGATGATCCCCAGAGGTCCCCTATCCATGCTGTGATTCCATGACTCCTGTCAATGCAAAAACTCAGTGACTTCTAGATTGCTGTCTCCTCCTGATGTGTTTTCTCATCTCTGGAGCTGAGTAAACAATATCTTTACTAGGGTGTGATTTGTTCAATAACTTGCTACTAAAGAGCTGCTCTCTTCTTCCTCCTGCCTGGAGCCACACGCTTTTCCAGCTTTTCCACTGCCTTCTCGTGGCACAGATTCACATTTCACAGTCAGATTTTGCCCTGAGCCCCTTCTGTTTTTACTAATCCCTCTGACTGCAACAGTGCCATTAGCTTCAGTAATATATGACTCCGAGACTGCATGGTTTCAGGTCGTTCTAAAGTATACCTGGAAATCTATAGAAAGAAAAATACCAGTAAAGCATTGATAAGAGAATAACAGAAGGAGGTTCTGGATCACACAGAAACATAATTTTTCTTTAGTTCAACAAATACAATCTATTTAAGTGTATTTAATCAAAGAGTACCTGGTAAAGGCCATATCAGCCTCTCTATCTAAGTCTCTTGCACACCGTGATGCTACTGTCAGGTTAACCCATCATATTCACCATTACCAAATTAGTCCCATCCTGAAACAATGTCAAGCTTTTCACTTAGTAACTCTTCAACTTGTGGAGAGTTTATTCCATTTAATTAATTTTCAGCTTTCAGCCCATCACTGTCTGTGAGCTCACCTGAAAGGTTTCTCTCTGTAAGCTTAAAGTCTTGTCTGGATTTCCTACAAATATCTTTTAAGTTGGGAACAATTCTTACTCCTCTTCCATGCATTTTATTCATCCTCTTCTTTCACTGTCCAACCCTGTGGTACTCTGGCAAGGCTGAATCCCCATGGAGCATCATGCTCTGCTGTACTTGAGCTTTTTACCTCCAGAGGATTTTTTTTTTTTTCAGTGAGATCACTGGGGAAGACATCTGCATGGGAAGGTTATTTACACAGTCCATACACCTCCTATTCTTCTTGACGGGACCTTTTTCACTGCATCTGTTATGGTTGTCTGAGGAAACATTGTGAATTACATCCCAGCTGCTTATTCAGCCCAACGACCTTTTCATGTCTGCAGCCCCTTGTACGCTCCCAAAGACAACGGCCCCACTCTGTGGCCACAGCAGAGGAATACACACCCCACATTCTGGATGCAAAGGTAGCCTGAAGTCCTTTTTGTTTGTGTTTCTTTCTTCCATCATATGTGGGCTTGGTCTTGCCTATGTCTTTGGCATAACATATAGACCAGCCTTCCAGCTGTTTTACAGTAAATGAACTATGTGATGCCAGCCAGTCCGATGTGCAAATAGGACCCACTTGCAATCACAGCCCCTCTCTCACACCAGAGCTCCATAAAGCTCCTGGCACTGTCAGACTGCCTGTCACTGGTGTGGCCCAAACTGGCCAAGCTGCTGTCCCAGACTGGGGCTTGGGGACATGGGTGATGCCAGATGAAAGTGTTTTCACAGCTCCTCCCAGGACTGTGCTTTGAAGATAAAAGCAGCATCAGCCTCCTGCGGGTTTGCTATCAAGGCCAGGTAAGCACATTAGTGTAATCATGGTAACCACTATGCAGGTGACAGTGAAGCAGGACCAGGTGAGATGAGCTGTTTTTCACTTCTGTTCTCTTTGTTTTATATCAGTGTGAGCTGATCAC